TTTTTAAACTTATTAAAGTTGGCTAAATGAGTCGACGATCATATTTATATATTAAATTAATAAGAATTAATATTACCTTTGATATATGAATCCACCCACCTCATTTGGATTATCCATATATTTTATACAAATTTTATAAAATAACAGATTAATCCTGAATATAGTGCAAACAACTCCGAAAACACACTATTTCAAGTCATTTAGAGTCATAATTGGCTTTTCAACCCCTCATGAAAGTTGTAATATATAGTAAGGGCTTTCTAACTGCAAAATATGAAGTAATTTCGACTTACAATTTGTGAGTTATACACTGTCAAAGTACGGGAGCTGCACTGTTGGTAAAATCCGATTTCACAATTTTCCAACTAACTTTTATGATCCCAAATTCGCATATTCAATCAAACGGGTAATTTTCTACCCGACTATGGATCCCATATTACCCCCCATAAATTGAAAATCCATAACCCCAATTGCTACAGTAATACCGTTCGAAAAGCCTCGTGTTGATCCTATCATTCTTATTATGTTGTACTAAAAAATGATTGAAACTCGTATGTTTGGTCATTTAGTAAATACACTAATTTTTTAAATAAATAAATAAATATATATATATATATATAGAGAGAGAGAGAGAGAGAGAGAAATGAGTGTAACTAAAGAAGGTTAATACTCTAATTAATTTAATGTTTGCTAACAATTACATCAATAAAAAAGACAAAAATTGAAAAAATATAAATATACATATCATTGTACTCAAGTCACATGTGTGTATGCGTGTGTGTGTGTGTGTATATATATATATATATATAATATTTAAGTACGTAAATAAAAACACACATAAATAAAAATACACATATATTGATTGTGATTTCATTTATATAAATGAGTTTACAGATATTTTGATTATATATATTGAATACACACATACATACATACATACATACATATGTATGTGTGTGTGTGTCCAATTATTGTTATGTAAGTAATAGATAGTCATATGAGATAAAAGAATCAAAAAAAAAAAAATTTGGGTGTAACCAACGAAAATAAATAGTCTAATTAATTTAATGTTTTCATAATAATTACATCAATTAAAAAAGAAAAATTTTGAGAAAAAGAAAATTAGGATTGCGATGCCTAAAAATGTCACCTTATTGTTGGTATTTTTTTTTTATTTACAAAATTACAAATTAAGAAACTATAAAAAACATAAAAAAAACAAAAGTGAATCCACCACAAAAACAAAAATAATCAAAATTCTCACAGAATTCTAAAGCCTCAATGGAGATTCTCTTTAATTCATGTTCCAATACCTTCTTACATATATTAATAAACTCGTGTATACTCTTCTGCCATATATGAGAGATGGAAAAGAAGAGGTGAAAGTTTTCCAATAATTTATAACTCGTACATGAATATGGAGAACACATAAATGAAAAAAAAAACCCCAGAGATTGAGGGATTTAGAGAAAAACCAGGGATTGAGGGATTTAGATAAAAACCAGGAATTGAGGGATTTAAATATTGGAGTTGAAACGTACTAAGAGAAGGGGAATGGTTTTTGAGTTAAATGTGAACATTAATTTGCAAAATAACTAAGGAAAAAACAATCAAAATGTGGGAAAAAGAGGAAACTCAATGGAGACTTCTCCTTAATTCATGTTTTAATGACTTCTTACATATATTAATAAACTCGTGTATACTTACCCGTAGTTTATAACTCGTACATGGAGATGGAGAACACATAAATGAAAAAAACCCAGAGATTGAAGGATTTAGAGAAAAACCAGGGATTGAAGGATTTATATATTGGAGTTGAAACGTACCAAGAGAAGGGAAAGGGTTTTTGAGTTAAATATGAACATTAATTTGCAAAATTACTAAGGAAAAAAAAATCAAAATGTGGGAAAAAGAGGAAACTCAATGGAGACTTCTCCTTAATTCATGTTCTACTGGCTTCTTACATATATTAATAAACTCGTGTATACTCTTTTGCCATAGATGATAGATGGAAAAGAAGAGGTGAAAGCTTACCAGTGGTTTATAACTCGTACATGGAGATGGAAAACACATAAATGAAAAAACCCAAAGAATGAGGGATTTAAATATTGGAGTTGAAACGTATCAAGAGAAGGGGAAGGGTTTTTGAGTTGAATGCGAACATTAATTTGCAAAATTACTAAGGAAAAAAAATCAAAATGTGGAAAAAAGAGGAAAATAGGATCTCTGCGTCGAGGAGATGCCACGCCAGCTTATCATGATTCTGTTTTATAATATATATATATATATATATTACATAATTCCTATATTTAATTGATTCATATGAACTAATTAATTGATTTACATATGAATCCGTAGGTTCATCTGAGAATCAGTTAAATAATTTACATATTAACATATAGTTCATATGTGAATCACACGAGTTCACATATGAAACTGTTTGTCTTCAATTTGTAAAAGCTACAAATCTACCTCTCTATCTTCCAAATATCCATACAAAGAATTATTTAATACTTCAAAGTTACAACTACAAATGTTGATCAAGTAAGAATTAGAATAACTTCTTTACTTTTTTTAAATACTTAGAAATCAACATTTTCGTAGGATCTTCATACAAATTCTCTTCAAATCTTTCTTTTACATTTTAAAATATTAATTCCGTTTTTATAAATGTTCTTACATGGAAGTCGTCAGAATGATGATAGTTTTGGGGAGGGTGAGGCCGATAGATAAAATACAGGAAAGTGGGGTGGTTGTGGGAAAAAAATTTAATTAATTAATAAACCATATCCAAGTTTAATCATATAGCCGCCATCTAGTGGTAACCACTAAAAAGTTTACAAATATTTTTGGTGCTGAAGTCTGATTTTGGTTCTGATTTTTTAGAGTTGGTGTTGAAGTTTGAAATCTGAATCAGTCAGACTGTTTGTTTTTACGTCTAAAGCTTGAAATCTGAATCAGAATGGTCGAACCACATGGAGGAAATCAACACGGAAACTAGAGGGGAGATCCACGAAATCAAAACAGAAACTGGACAGGAGATTGATAACCCTGGAGGTCGATTGGTTTTCATCTTGATTTGGGTGAAGATCGATTCAGAGATCGACTGGTTTTCATCTTAGATTTAGGTGGAGATCGATTTATAAATCGACTGGTTTTCATCTTGTGGATCGAGATCGATTTAGAGGATGGAGATGTCTTAAGAAAACTGGAGGCGTATGAATTTGGATGTGGGTGAATGAGACTTATTTTTCCAGATAATTTTAAGAGTTAAGAGGGTTTGAATATAAGAAAAAACAAACGGTTTGAATTTAAAAACGTCTAAATGAATAAATGATAAGTGGATATAAAATTGGAAAAACAAACATAACCGTATAAATGAGTAATGAGAGGGGAGAGGCACAAGTTTACAAATACTCTAAATCTATAAAGGACGAATGAGAGGGGATTTACAAATATCTTTAATGTCTTTATTATATAATTTTTTTAATTTAAAATTACTAATTTTTCAATTTATTATAATTTTGTGATTTATGTTGGATAAAAAAGACTTCTATTATATTATATAAAATATGGAGATTAAAGAAATATAATATCCTCTTTTGAGAAATAATTGGTTTTCTAAAATTATATCTAAAGATAACATTTAGAGAACGTTTGCAGATTGTAATTAAAGGATATATTTAGAGAAAGCTTAGATATGTGTCACTAAAAAATATACCTTTAGATAACCTTCTTTGAAAGCATCTTTTAGAGACTTTTGTAAACTATCTCAAATGTTGAAAACGTTCTTAAGTACACGCTTTTTGAAAAAAAAGTCAACCTCTAGATAAAATTTGAAATAAATATCTAAATCCCCAAAAAAAACATCTCTAAAAGTCAACATATATGTAACATTTTGCTATCTTTGCATAGGAATTCTTTTTTTTTGACGAAAATGAAAAGTTTCTCTAAGTGTCGTATTTGTTGTAGTGATCATGTTGCGCATAAAACCACCATAATGCATTTTTTAAAATCTTGATTTTATAATAAATATGAAATGATTTATATAAAAATATTAATTATATTTAATACATCTAATTAATCATGATAAATAATGATGTTGATGTTGTTAAAAATTTGATAATAACAATAATAGAAGTAAATTACATTTTTCCTCTTGATATATATGAATTTTATCGAACGGAACTCCAGTGGTGCCAATGGTAGCACGTGTCACCGTATTATTATTTCGTCGAACGGGAAAAAAATTTAGGTTCGTAAAAGGTGTAACTTTATTAATTTGTTGTATGTCACCGTATGTATTTTTAAATTACAATGAAAACAAGTTTTTTTTTGTAGTGTTAGTTTAAAAGACTTTTATTCCACCTAGACTTGAATAAGAATCCTGTTAGTGTCATTTTCTTAGTTAAATGGTGTCATTGTTTGAAAAAAAATCCCTATATTTGTTTCAAATGGTGCTATCGTTTTGAAATTTTTTCCAGATATTTGTTTCTTATAGCTATATGGAAAAAAAAAATATCGATCCGTTCCTGGAATCAGTGATGGGGTTGTAGGTTGGGGTCATGGGGATAGGGAGATGGAGACGGAGGTGGGGGTTGCACGTGGAGACCATCAAAGTAACGGTTGAATAGAAATTCCAGTGGAAAAGGGTGACTCTTAGGTGTGCCACTGTGGAGAAGAAGGGTGTGTCCTGGGTGTATTTACAATGGTGGTGGTGAAGTGGTATGAAGCTATGCTGATGATTAACAACAATGGAAAGTGGGCAAAAACAGAGGGCAGTGGTGGTCTGATGGTACCAAATACATCATGTCCCGAGTTCCATCTCGGATCCCGTTAGCCTAAGCTACTGAGTGAGCAAAAAAAATGCTTTTTCACGTTGGTGTCCTTGAAGGCGAGTTCCCTGCTGGACGGTTGGGGTTGCCGGCAAGCAAAATTTGTTTTGCTTAAGTAATAGGAACGAAATACTGAAAATGAAGACCCGAAAAGAATCTAAGAAAAGAAAAAAAAATTCACACCGTTTTTATTCTTCTTTAACAAAATAATCATCCAAGTAACATACAATTTCATAAACTTAAGATATCGACGTTTATTAACGAAAATCAATATCGATATCTTTAGAAAAAAAATCGTCTGATGGCAATCACATATCCGCATATGGTTTGTCGGCTGAGTATCTTTGTGCCAGCATCGTAACTCCCATGTATCTTCCGAGCATCATGAGGCTAGCTTGCGGATTAGTTCCTGGAGAGTTGAGGAAAGTCGATCCGTCCATGACTCGAAGACCATCGACGCCAAGAACCTTGTATTCTTCGTCAAGTACTTTGCCAATTCGACACCCACCATGGTAATGCCATATGGTGCTTTTGGTGTCCTTGCAATATTGTTCTAGGGTTGAAAATGTTTTACTATTTTCATTTTGGTTATAGGGATATTGGATGTTAAGATCGAGAATATCTTGAGCTGTCATATTCGGATATCTGTAGTTGGAGAATGCATCTGACTCAATAGCTGCTAGCATGACTTCGAGTCCCTTAACACACTTTTCTAGGTCTTCAGGTTCCTTGAAGTAGTTGAATGTTACGTTAGGGTTGTCACCTGGATTACGGTTTACTATAGTTAGGTTACCCATAGATAGAGGGCCATCAGTTTTCTCGAATATAAACCCGCCCATCTGCAATCAAATACACAAGTCATCAACTTGACTCATAAATGATCATAGATCAGTTTCTAATTTTCATGCCTCTATTGATAAAATAAGCAATTATGTTTATTTACCAAATTAGATACGACTTCAAAAGACCTATAATTTTAAGGGTTGTACAATATCATCGATCATTTTCTCTAAAAACATGTATAATAATATGTAGTAGCTTCCACGTCAGTATAATTGTGTGTGTATATATAGATATATGCATACCTGATAGTCATACCCCAGATATGTAGGAGTATCTGCCAAGAGAAAATTAATACCACCGGATTCCTCGATATAGCTACCGAACTCGGTAATACCAACGGTTTGGACTAGGGATCGCTCAACAGGAACGAGAGCAGGGATGAAAAATCCATTTAGCGGGTTATCAGCCATGTATTGACCAACCAAAGGTTGCTCAACCACGACTTTGATCTTAAGGGCATCGAGTTGCTCTTTTGGACCTATTCCACTCAATATTAAAAGTTGTGGGCTACCAAGAGCTCCAGCAGACACTATAATTTCATTTTTCTTTCCACTTTTTAGATATGCCCGATGCATTTTTCCGAGTGAATCTTCGAACACTACTCCATAAGCCATGGGCTTTGATCTTCCTGTACAAGAATAACAAGTAAGTTTGATCTGTAAATACTTGCAATTAATCGTCATATATAACATGATCTGGTACGTATCTATGGCGACTTTATTTGACAACAGTGGATATTTTAACAACTCTAGGAACCAATTACGTATTAATTATATCGTGAAAAATTTTCATGAATATTTAGATATATTCATTGTAAATAATTCATAAATTATTGGTTATCAAAATATCTATGGTTTCTAAATGAACTTTCTTGTGGTGTTTACGTACGTACCTTTCGTCCTAAATAAGATCTTGTGGACACTTGCGTGTAGAAGAAGAGACAACCCATCTGGGTTGGCATATTGCAGCAAATCTGCGGCAGTATGTCGCACCCCTTCTGGATCGAAAATACTACCACCGGTTTTAGTACCATTGAGATGGTCAAATGTATAGCCATTGTCGGGTGTGACCCCAGCTTCGAGCATTGCTGCTCGAAGGGCAGTCTGCCACCCACCAAGAACTGGCTCAAAAACCATCACTTTTTCTGCATATTGGTAGGATTCTTCGATCAAATTTGCATCGGTTAATCCAGCTTCAGTGTAGAATCTATCTTCAGCACGAGTATAGAAACCGGCATTAATACAAGTACCGCCACCCAAGACACGAGGACGAGCATTGACAACACCCTCGACAACAAACTGTTGAGAGGGAGAATCGGGTGATGTATCGAAGAAGTAGGTTCCGAAGTTGGCACCCAGGGTGACATTGGGATTGGGGTAGGGTGAGCCACCACGTTCAAGCAATAGAACAGATGAGTTCTCAGAGAGGGTGGCGGCCACGGGGATTCCAGTGGTGCCACCTCCAACTACGATGTAGTCGTAGAATGAAACCTTAGGTGCTTCGGTTGCTTCTCGCATGAACGTATAGTTTGGAGCTATATAAACATATAAAACAAAGCATCAAGACACAACTTCAGTCGATTAATATTCCATACAAGTAATTAACACATATATCTACACGGATGTAAATATTTTTGGATATATATTAATAAAACCATTCTGGGTATTGTGGCTATATATTCAAAATGATAGAATCTGCTTACGCATTTCGGCGAGATCAAGATCAAGTAAGAAAGTAATGGTAACGATAGCAGCTGCTATCATCTTCCATGACCTAGAAACCATCATGTTATGCTGATGATGATGATGATATATGTGTTTGTGTTTTTATATATCTATCAAGAACTTGAGATTGTATGATATGGAAAAGAGATAAAACGTAATGCTATTTATATAAACTTTGGATGGCCATTGCATCTGGAAATGGAAGATATAAAATTATATATCATAAAAAGTCGTCCCTACCAACTGGGTCTTGTTACATTCAAAAAAACCAACACAATTGTTGATTATTGATGATATTATAATAAATTGTTATCAAAAAGGGTGTATATTTAAGTTTATAACATTTAATAATAAAATATTCAATATCTAAAAGTAGTTTGTAATAATTTTATAACAAATCTTCTAAATCATTTTTAAAATAAAACATTGTATTAACTATTTTATATGACGTTTTTTGCAAGTATCCTACGAATACATATCTTTATAGGACGCATGTTTTTTTTAATATATTTTTTAAAATATAGTGTCCTATAAAATGGCAAACTGTCTTAAATAATTTATTACAGCATAATTATTTAGATAAGATAACATGGACGTTTTGTAAGGCCACTTTTAATTTATCGTAATGTATTATGTGAAACGTAAATTAATACGAGTCGGTAGTAGCAGATGGTAAAGGATCTCAGGTTTCAAAAACCAAAGGCTCATAGACATTCTACATTTTTTATCTTCTCTATGGTAATAACATTACGGGATCATAGTCATAGATGTCTCTTTTCCAGAGTTGGCAAAGTGAACCCAAATTCTTTTCTTCAAGATTCTTATTTTAGGTCATAAATTGGTAATTTAAAATGGTATTCTTTATATATATATATGCAAACTTAAATAATAGTTATTTTTGGTTAAATACATCAATTTTTACTAACATGAAATACACGTAAAAATACGTTTAGCAAAAATATGTTAAATTAATTATTGAAGATAAATAAACAATCAGTCACGATTTAAAAGCTATCTAAGAAGAAGAAAGAAAAAAACTTTAAAAAGCCTATGATAGTGGAGACAATAATTATTCTCACAAGATTAATCGCATAATATGATGTACATACAAAATTCTATATGTATCTATAACATTATTATTATTATGATTATATTTATAATAACTAGAAATATACCCACACAATACAATGAAATACATCTCGATTTTATTGTTTGTTTTTATTATTTGCTATTGATAATGTTTTTATTTTTTAATAAAATATAAAATTTGAAGATATTGTAATTAAATTTTTTTTAAATTATCGATAGTAGTATCAAATTAAATATTTGAAAGTTTTCATTTTTTTATAATTTTTTGGATTCAAAATTTTTATTATAATT